AATTATTTTAACAGCCGAATCTGAGGGGTAGCTGAGGTCATTTGAAGTAACTTTTTCCTTTGCGAAAATACAATCTGCGGCTTTGTTTACGAGTTATTAACGGAAAACACTGACCAATGAGAGGTGACGGCGCGAAGTTCGAGAGCCCGCAGCACGAGGCTTTGACAGATGGTCGGGACGGACTCGAGCCGCGTTCGAAGTATTGAACAAATCACGAAGCGAGAACATTCCAGATATTTTTTTTTACTATGTTTGTTAGAGAAATATGAAGAATATTATCAATAACCTTGACATATCAAGGTCATGTCAAAGTCATATCAAGGTTATATCAAGGTTATGTCAAGGTCATGTCAAGGTTATGTCAAGGTCGTGTTAAGGTCATATCAAGGTTATGTCAAGGTTATGTCATGGTCATGTCAAGGTCATGTCAAGGTTATATAATATTCTTCATATTTCTCTAACATACATCCCTTACGTCCTTTAACACACGATTATTATTTATTAAATTAGCTTTGCGAATTATTCGTTGAACTGTGTTCTTCATTGTACACCTTGCGTAAAAATTTCATATGTTGACCTTGACATAACCTTGACATGATCTTAACATGACCTTGATAATAAAATTGACATCTCAACACTTCGGCTTCATTAAAATTCGAATCGTTTATTTAACAAAACAAAGATTAAAAAGTCATGTCGCACAAAGTTGCCATTTTAACGATTGCATAGAATCTGCAGTCTACTCACATTACAGTAAATTCTCCCTAATTGACGCTCAGATTGCGCACAAAATGAACAATTTGGGAAGAGGTGATACGATTATTCGAGCCTCGAGATTCATTTTTATAGTTACCGATTGTCAGCGATTATGTTAACCAGGTGCAAGGCTCGATTAATAGTATCTGCTCTTCCGAAATTGTTCATTTTTGTTTACAAGCTGAAAGAAAATTAGGGAGAATTTATTATACTTTGCTGAGTCATCAAGACGGTGATTTAATGTAACAAGGTGCCAGAACGTCAGAAAATAAGGCACCGGATTACAGAAACTTGCATTCTTATTTCTCAGCAATATTTATTTCATGAATTTCTAATAAAGGCTCTGTATTGATCATTGATAATAAAGCTGCTATTTAAAAGGTACTCGCTTCGAATTGCAAACATTAAGTTAAACGTGAGCAGTGTAAGGATTCTCGGAAAACCGTTGAACGCGAGATTGGACGTAGTTTAGTCACTTTTAATTGGCTGAAGCTCGAGATGATAAAAAGAATTCTGGAGTGAAGATTTCCACAAATTTATTAAAATATTGTTGCATCAGATTACCTAGAATTTTGTAAAGTCCTCAACAAAGCAATCCGGTGCAGTTTCAGAGAATGTAGTCTTTCTGAGAATTTCACGCGGTTCCAGGAAATGTAGCGCGTTTTCAGAAAATTTTATGCGCTTTCAGAGCATTTTGTGCAGTTTCGGAATAATCCTGTGCAGTTCCAGATAATTTCATAGATCTCCGAAAATTTGTTTACGGTTTCGAAAAATTCTGTGCAGTTCCAGATAATTTTACAGGTCTCCAAAAAATTTGTTGTGGTCTCGGAAAATTAAATGCAGCGTTCAGAGCATTTTCTGCAGTTTCAGACAATTTTGTGCAGTACCAAAAAATTTAGTAAATCTCCAAAAACTTTAGTACATCTCCAAGAAATTTTTGCAGTATCAGAAAATTGAATGCAGCGTTCAGAAAATTGAGTGCACCTCGAGAAAATGTTGCGCGCCGTCGAAGAATTTCGCGCAGTTCCAGAAAATTGAGCAAACCTCCAAAAAATGTCTCCCGGTCTCAGAAAATTAAATGCGGCGGTCAGAAAATTGAATGCACTTTCAGACAATTATGAAGACTATACCAGAGGAAGACTATTAAGAAGACTGTGTATTAATGAGAGGAGCTGCGATAAAGTTGGCTCGAAGAGAATAGATCAGCGTGGATTGTTTCTCAGGTCACGGTGGCTCGTGTCGAGCGCGTAGGCGGTCGATTGTCGCGCAGGGCAGCGGACACCTGATTCCGAAATAGCGCGAAACAAGTTTCGGGAGAGGAATTAATCCTTCCGGTCGTTACAGTGCAACTCGTCGAGTGTGACAGCGGCTGGCAGCTGGATTGAATTGAGGCGCGTGCTATATTACGCTTGATATCGCTGTGAAACCCAACACCGCCGGCTTAGACCTCGACCCCGTGAGCCGCTAGCACTGCTGGCGCTACGCTGCCACTGGCTGGCTCAATTGCCACCGAAGAAACAGTATATCCTGCTACCAAATGCCCGGCATTGTCCGTCACAGTGTTTTCGGTTTCACCGATTCCGGTTAGCGGCGAATTCCTGCTAGCGACTGACTCCCTTAAATTCAGGCGAAATTACCGAGCTCTGTACGAAATACAGTCATTTCTCTCAGAAATGTTCGGAGGTCGGAATTGAAACCGGCAGATCTGAGAATACTAAGTCGCGATTCTTCGGGCCTCGTAACTCGTTTTTAAAGAAACTCGAGGCAGTCGGCGAAAAAAGGCAGCGGCCAGCATGCCGGTGTGTATTAATGTGAATATGAGCCGTTTATTTTGAAAGTGGCCTAAGTCATTTCTCAAAAACACCGAGCTAGCTATTTTAATATTCACATTTCTACGTTTCATGTCAGCAAAGCTGAAAGAACGCAGTGACCCTTAGGAACATAAAAACATTATACCACCATGTTATCAATTAGCAATATTTTTAAATTTATTAAAACGTAAAAATCTTAAATATCTGGATTTTCAAATAAATGGACTTAGGCCAGTTTCAAAATAAACGGCTCATATATAGTGATGCTGGAATAAAAACGATGACTTATCTTTTTATTTCTAATTTCCTGCCACGATTCGAAGACAATTCGGAGGTAACGTGACACTATTCGAAGGCAATTCAGAAGCTACATGATACGATTCGAAGGCAATTCGAAAGCAATTCAGAAGCTACATGATACGATTCGAAGGCAATTGGGAGGCAATTCGGAAGCCACATGAAACGATTCGTAGCCAATTCGGAGGCCATATGACACGATTCGAAGGCAATTCGGGAACCACATGACACAATTCGAAGGCAATTCGGTGGCCACATGCCACGATTCAAGAGCAATTCAGCGGCCACATGACACGATTCGAAAGCACGTAACTAGTACAGTAATTTGGGAAGAGAAGATACATTTATTTGAGCCTTGCACCTCGTTTTCATAATCGTTGACAATCGGCAACTGTAAAAATGAATCTCGAGGCTCGAATAATCGTATCTCCTCTTTCCAAATTGTCCATTTTTGTGTGCAATCTGAGCGTCAATTAGGGAGAATTTACTGTATTGTGAGTAGACTCCAGATTTTATGCAATCGTTAAAATGGCAACTTTGTGCGACATGACTTTTNTCGAAGGCAATTCAGAAGCTACATGATACGATTCGAAGGCAATTCGAAAGCAATTCAGAAGCTACATGATACGATTCGAAGGCAATTGGGAGGCAATTCGGAAGCCACATGAAACGATTCGTAGCCAATTCGGAGGCCATATGACACGATTCGAAGGCAATTCGGGAACCACATGACACAATTCGAAGGCAATTCGGTGGCCACATGCCACGATTCAAGAGCAATTCAGCGGCCACATGACACGATTCGAAAGCACGTAACTAGTACAGTAATTTGGGAAGAGAAGATACATTTATTTGAGCCTTGCACCTCGTTTTCATAATCGTTGACAATCGGCAACTGTAAAAATGAATCTCGAGGCTCGAATAATCGTATCTCCTCTTTCCAAATTGTCCATTTTTGTGTGCAATCTGAGCGTCAATTAGGGAGAATTTACTGTATTGTGAGTAGACTCCAGATTTTATGCAATCGTTAAAATGGCAACTTTGTGCGACATGACTTTTTAATCTTTGTTTTGTTAAATAAACGATTCGAATTTTAATGAAGCCGAGGTGTTGAGATTGGATCGGTGTGCATCACGAATAAATTGTAGACTTTATGCACTCGTGAAAATGGCCGGTTTGTTTATTTTTAATTGCATTACACGACGATTTTTGTGCACAATCTGTGCGCGAATTAGGAAGAATTTACTGTACGTACCACGTACCTTGCAGCTTCGTGACGTTTTTTACCTGACTCGCACTCAAACAGACCATTTCCTGTTATTTTCCTTCGACCCTTAGCATCGTCGTAGCAATAAATTGCATAGGCATAAAAAGAACACAGGGAAATTCACAGCAACGCGAAACATGGCATTTCCGGGAGAAATTGCTGTAAAAATTTGCAGTTGCAATTAAAATTTACGGGATTCGCGAAAAAAAGACCTCTTGAAAACTTGTTATCAAGCGTCTACAAGGTGTGAACAATGATTTAGACCGTCAGAAGTCGGAGAGGGAAATTTATAAAGATTGTTTTTTTAAATAAACCGAACGGCATATCTTAATGAGGCCCGGCAAGCTTGTTTATGTACCCGGAGATAACGTTTATGAAGTGGAACTTCATTGTTATCACCATAACTGTAGTAATTACTCAGCGAGGAAGCAGACCGGTTGAAGAAATTCTTCTCGGATTGCTCGCGCGATAACAGCGCGGCAGAAGTCATTTCTAATGGAAACAACATTTAATTAATATATCTGTGATCGCGAGAAGCGACCCATTTCGCGGAAAGCGAGAAGTACGCGCGCGGGCTCGCTCGCTCGCTCGCTCGCGTTAACAACCTGGCAATTGACACGAGCATCAGAGGGGATTTCAATATTTGATTAGGAAACGCGAATGACTTTTCGAGCGAAGAATCTTTTCCAACAGCACGCTGGCCGCGCGGCGGCTAATTATGTACCGCAGTTACGACGATAACGACGTGTAGAAATTCATTAATGTAATCTAAACGCACAAGCTTGCACAGTTTCATTAAGATAGGCCGTTCTATCGTGAAAACAATTTGTGTACACGCATGCGCGGTCTCCAACTGTTAACGGTTCCGCTGTTAATAATTATTTTTTATTGCGCCGTCTCGGCGATACATTACTTGGCTCGAGCTACGAAAAATATTTGAAGGCTGTGTCTTTCTCGTTTTGCCGGATAACGTCCATTGATTGGCCAGCGACGACGGTCGCGTGCCAGTGTCGGTGTCTAAACAGAGTTACATAAGGCCTGCATTAGGGCCGATCGGTCTCACGCCTGCACGGACGCGAGTGCACGCGTGTATGCACCGTGCACCGCACGCCCACGCAGCCGTTCCGGCGCTACGAGCAATTACCTTAATCCGGTGAATATTCCGCGGAATAAAAGGGCCGAGGCGCGGAGAAAAAGAGCCGGCCACTTCTCGAACCCGGCTCGGATGGCATTCCAAGGCGGGAGGGAGCATTAGACAATTGGCAAATCGCGAGAGCGCCGACGTCAACGAGCCGGAGGTCACTACGAGATACTCGTGTCCCGCGGAATACCGCGAATGCTAACAGCCAGCTCCCTTTTTATTGCCTAATCTCGAGGTCGAACGGCGTCGTCGCTCGATGCACCGATGCGCCGATGCAACGATGCACCGGGCTTCGCGCGAAGTCTACGCGCTTAGCGACTTTCTAGATTATTTTAGAACGAAGCCAGTGGAAATTACAGACCGTAATATTGTTAATAATTTATTTGTGTCATTCCTGGTTATACTTGTTCGATATATTGCAGGCTCACTGCGGATTTTTCTGAGTAAGAAAGAAATTGAGATTGTGCATATCATGAGAACAAAAATGCACAGAATTGTGCATATAAAAAGGGAATAAATCGTCTAACTGTTCATAGCTTGTTCATATAATTTCTCGTTGTATTTAATGTACCTTTTGTAATCTCACTTGACATTTTTCCAATTTGATTTAGGAGAATGGCCGAAATTGTGCAACAAAATTCAGTGAAATGTTCATTATAACCATGGTATGCATTCGCCATGATTAATCCAAATGATCGTTAAACTATGAACTTCTCTGCGAAATATAAAAATGTTCTGCATAAATCGCGAAGAGGAGAAGCCACAGAAAATCATTAATGAAGCCGTAGCATCTCTAATCGTTTTAACAAATGGAAGACATTATAAATCGATGTTTCTAAAGCCTTCTAATATTTCATCTGTTCGAGTTGTCACACTATTAATTTCCATTGCAAATGGATAAAATCCACGATCCAGCGGTCATTATTTATTTTTTTTACTTTATCCCAATTTTACACGCATTTATGCAACAATTATTCGACTGTATTTAACGCATCTACGACAAAAATGAAGAGATCGAGCTATAAATACGTTAGAAAAATTTAACAATGTCGCCTATTGTTAACAATATCGACCTACCGAAGTTACAAGAAAGAAGATAACTTTCGAGTCGTAAAATTTGTGTTCTGCATAAAAATCCGTAGTCCAGTGATTAATTTCACCGTCGCCGTTTCGTCGATATTTCCGCAGGATTTTGAGTGGGAGTATCGAACGTTTCGGCACCGGCCGACGGCTCCCGACAAATTGGGCCCGTAATTTAAGTGCAAGGGGTTAATGAGAAGTGAAGTTTTTCTTTATGATAGCCCCCGGAGAGCGCGGCGTTCCATAGTTATCCGAGAAGTTGTTAAAGATCATTACCGGGAAACACAAAGAGATTCCTGTAGGTAATAAAATGGCGTAGCGCGATCCTGCACAATGGACCGATAAATTTTCGTCTTGTTATATACGGTTATCCGTGCAATTATTGTTACAACTAATTTTCGCAATCCTTAAGCCACTGATCGCGCGCTCTGGTCGTTAATTATAACGACTAAAGTAAGTAAGTAAGTAAAGCACCGCGCGAGGATGGAAGCCCGCAGTTTGCATGCAGCGCTGATTAACACGTTCACGACAGGATGCTCAAGTTTATTCGAGTTTTGCTGGCAATTGTAACGCCTGCGCCTTTCTTTTTCCAACGAAATCAATGTTGGTTGCACGTAATTATTCTAATCCGTGGCAGCACATGTTTCACAGTCGGCTATAAATCCTGCAACGAGGAGCGGGGAGGAGGGGAGGGGGGGGGAGAGACGGCGCAAAATGGGATCGTTAGCAGTTCGTGTTTTCTTGATTACCCGCCGGAAGAGCCGCGTATTTCGAATTTTTTTCCGGCGCTACGACCCGATAGAAAATCTTCATCTGTTTAGCGCTTCAACCTCGTAAACAGTAAGATCCGCATAATTAATTTCAGAACACGGGACTGCGCTTTTCCGTAGCACTACACGTTTCTCGCTGGATTATTTTTATTCGGAATTTGTTTTCTGCTGCGATGGATCGCTGGAAACTTCTCGTGTTTTCAGTAGTTCGGCATGCACTGCAGCATGAAGTATCCACATAATTAGACGTAATCTAAGTGATAAATATTTTTGCGGAAACTCTCACTTCAATCGACTGCGCTTCCGTTCGTAGCGGACTCCTACGGAATTGTTTTTTTTTCCAGTGCAATGAATTGCTGGCAAATTTTCATTTGTTCAGTACTTTAGCACTGCATTTTCGTAATTAATTTCAGTCCAGGGAAATTCTCCTTTTTCAAAGTGATAAATATTTCTGCAAGAACCGTTTCATTTTAATCGAGGATAATTTTCTGTGCAAGTTTTTTCAAAAATTGCAACGTGGAGTATCTCAAAGGAAGAACTCTAAGTAGATTCTTCATTATTTGTTATTAGACTCCTTTGATACCGAAAAAAAGTCCACGAAATTACCAGAAATCCTTCGTTTTCCCCTGTTCACGGCCTGTCCGAGCAGAAAATCGATTTTACGAGTCTCGCGAACGATCGCGCCTCTTAAAGTCGTTTCTGCCGTTTCTGCCGCGACGCTTGCGAATTCTGATGGCGTAATCGAGAGGAGAAGGTCTTAATTATGCGAACGGCTCGGCCGCATAACGTCACTCGCCCGAATTCGCCGGCGGCCGGCCTTGATCCGCTAATTACCACAAAAGGAACCGCTCGTTTTACAATCGCGCGTCGCGGCTCCCTCGACATGCGTAATGCCGGGAAAATTACCAGGCGTTTCTCGCGCTCTGTCACGCGTGCCGCAGCTCCGGGACGACGACGAGGGGAATTGCCAGTTCCGTTTCTTTTAATTCAAAACTTCCGCGAAACCGCAAACCGCCGCGCTGCGCGTCGACGCGTCTCCTCCGCTCGCGCGGAAAGTGTGCGCGCACACGGCTGCGTGCGTGCGTGCGTGCATGCATGCGTGCGTGATTTCGTTCCCAATGCGCGTCCGCGACACACGTTCATAAAACTGGCGCTCCGGTAATTGCCGGTGTTTAATTGCTAATATCAGATGAATTCTTGGGAACCGGCTGCAGATGCTCGCTCGAACGCGCACGCCTCTCCACGCCGGCCTACGACTTCAGCCGTTTCTCCCCCGGGATAATTGATGAAACTTGAAATTATTCAGGGAGCCTCCTCCTCGGTTTATAAGCCGCGCGTCCCCTTTCTGCGAAAATCCGCGCGGATCTGGATGCGCGCGCGAGCTCGAGGAATTAAGGAATTACTCAATTAGGCGCGGCTGAACGTTGCCTCGTAGGTTTATGGTTTACTGGCGCGGTTGTGCGAAAGTGCACACGATCGAAATGTACGCGGACGCGTCGAAAACGTCGCGGAATTCATAAATCACGGTCTAACCGAGCCACCTGGATTTATGGACTGGGATCCTCGCGTGTAATCGCGCCGCTTCCAAGCATACAATTGTAAGCCAAACAATCGAGGAATCTTTGAATTATGACCCAGAGCAGTTTGATCGTCGGGATATTGCAACTTTGTGCAGACAAATCTCTCGACGTCCTCACTCATTTTTAAAGAATAAGCGGAGTTCGGCAAATATCTTTTTACCTGATATATACACACTCGCGTTCCTCAATAACGTCCCAGAATAAATATGTACGTATTTCTGTAACTAGCTTTTATTTCCAACAGTTTTCCTTTTCTGCTTACGAACTCCGTTTACGCGATTTTCATCCGCGTCAAACGATCCGTGTGGAACGAAAATTCGCGTAAATCGATTACAAAAATATTAATATTGTATTCCTCAAGGATGGTATAAACAACCCGGAAAATATCCCCGGGATTCACTGCTCAGTTTCGTTAAAATAAAAAATCTGAAAGATCGCATTCTTCTTATTTTACAAATATCGGTCCTTCTTTTAAAATCGGATAATCGCGAGATCAATTTAGCGACTTTAATTAAAACACAGGGCACAGATCGACATTAGAGAAAAATTCCGTGGCTATCGGGACGGCCCGTGGCGATCAGCCAAGCAGAAACGGAGGCCAATAAACCAGATCAAAACGGCGCATTCCCTAATCGAGGAGACGGTCTTTGTTTGTCGTCCCTCCGCGCCGAAAGACGAGCGTCTTGTCTCCCTCGTGCCGGAGGGGTGTTTTCCTCTCGGTTCGGAAAATGGGAGTCAGAGGTGTCCGAGGAAAGCCCCGAAATTGCGAAACACGATAGGGAGGCACCGTGTCGGCTCCCTTTGATCCTGGCGCGCGCACCTTCCTCTCGCCGTGGAACGCTTTCGAAAAACCGAAACCTCATTATTATCCTGAAAATCCGCGGCGATCGGAAGACGCACGGTCGATTTCATGGTGTCGCTCTGTCGGAATTAATCGCTTTTCGAAAAACCGCCCTTGGTGCCCTCAGTGACTTCACAAAATATCGACCCGACGGTCCTTTCGACTCGTAGGCGGTCGATTTGCGTAACTAATCTGTCCTAATTGCCAGGTGAATATTCCTTTTCGGAACTCGACGACCCGGGGCTTCGTTTCCACCCCCTGTCGCTTTATGGGTCATTATTGTTAGGCAATTGGACAAATATTTGTGAACGTTTCATTCTAGATTTGTAGAATGATATGCAATTCTAGCTTAGACACTTTCCTTCGTCTAATAATTTTTAATAAGTAGTCCTTTTTTCAAATGGTACCTGATTTTTTATTACAATTATTTGGGAATATTTAAATAAGTCGTGGTTATTTTTCTCATAATTTTCACACGTACATTTTCAGATAGTACATGATCATTTTTGTGATCAATTTTTGATCAACTTTAATAAGTGCTTTAAATGGTATCTGATCAGTTGTGTTATAATTTTACTAATTACTGTTGCAAATGGTACCTGATTGCATTTACCATAATTCTAATAAGTACTTTTTTTTTTTAAAGATACCTGATTCTTATCACAATTTCGATAAACACTGTTTTAAATGTTGTATAGTTATTTTGCCATAACTCTAATAAATAATGCTTCAAATAGTACCTAGCTATTCTTATCACAAATTCGACAAACACTATTTTACACGTCACGTGTTTATTTTGTCACAATTGTAAACAACTACCCTTGTAAATCGTACTTGACACTTTCATTATAATTTCATTAAGTATTGCATAAAATGTTACCTGGTCACTGTTGTCACA